CTAACATGCTCACAGCCATACATGAAATAATTCTATTGGTATGCATAATCCATTCATTCAATGCCAATCTGATTTTGCAAACATTAGGAAAATAAAGATTTGCAGTAGCATATTTTGTCCTAGAAAAACCTTCAGTGATATCATAAAACAATTTCAACTTCTCACAAATCTCAGTTGCAATGATCCAATCATTTTTAGTTGGCAAATATTTGTACAAAGGATCACCATATAATTGCACACAACGAGGAAAGACATCTTTATAAAACAAAGTTGTTCGAAGCATTAAGTAAGTAGAGTTCCATCGTGTTTTGACATCAACACACAACTTTTTTAAAGTTGGAATGCGCAATTGACGCGCTGCCTCTTCAAATTTTTCCCATCTCTTTGGTGTAGCACTCCAAAAGAGGACACTATCACGAATTCTATCAATTCCATCTCCAATCACACTCAATCCATCTTTCACAATCAAATGCAAGATGTGTGCACAACAACGCATATGAAAAAAAGTCCCACTAAGCAAAAGTGCATCACAACCAATTCTATCAATTAACAACTCAATAATACCATCATTCACACTACAATTATCCACTGTAATAGATGAAAGTTTTCTATCAATATCTCAATCTAAGAAACATTTCATCAAACTTGAAGTAATGACCTCTTTCGTATGTGGAGTTGGCACATATTCAAACCTAATTAAACAATCAATTATTTACACTAATTTAATAATTAATTCAATAATAATAATTACTTAATAAAAAATGAACAATATCAAAATAAGACAATTTAATAAAATATACCTATGATGCATTTTTGTAAGTTTCATTGATTATCGATGTAATGAGCAGTGACAGCCATGTATCCTCTTTTTTGGTGATCAGCAGTCCACATATCAGTTGTGATAGCAATTCTCCCTTCATTAGCTTCCAACTTAGATATTGTCTTTGCCTTTTCCTCTTTGAAAATCTTTAAAATATCACTCTTTATAGTATTTCGAGAAGGCATAGCAAACAAAGGTTGGAGACTGTAAGAATACTTTCTGAATTGCACATGATCAACCATTGATAAGGGGTATTCATGCATGATTATCATCTTGGCAAGCTCCCTCTTTGTGACATTTTGATCAAAGGAAAAATTTTTTAATGTTACTTTTCCATCTGCCTTCCTTTGATTTGCTAGCAACACTTGTTGACGAATATCCATTTGAAATCGTTTGCTGCACCTCTCTGAATGATCACGCAAATGACTTGTCCCATTCTTAGAAGCACCACCAAGTTTTTTCTTACAATAATTGCATATTGTCTTCTATTCATTATTAATCTTCTCTTTTCTAAAATGTTTCCATACTTCTGATTTTAACTTACTTGAGTTATACCCACTATTATCAATTTCAGCACCCTCATTAGTCACACTTAATGATGGAGTTGTATTTTCATCAGATGTTGAAATAGGAGTTTGCTGAATTGGTGACTGATGTGATGTAGAAGTAGGAGGTGTTGGGGAATATGAATTATCTCCCAAATTAGACATTTCACCTTCATTCATAAAAAAAAAAATTAGAGTTATTATTTTTTATATTAACAAATAAAGCAACTAAATAAATTAACTATTACTAAAAGCATAAGGACAACTATTCACAAAGACATCATTTAAAAAATTTGAAAGGAAATTTAGGCACGTAGAGAGAATGAAAGAGAGAGATTATAATTTATGTCATGGAATCTACACATAAGAAGAAGATCAGTGAGTAACAGAGTTTGACAAGTAGAATTTTCTCAATCCAAGTTAAAAGTGTAGTAACAAGAAAATGACAAGGATTAACTTGAAAATTTGAACAATACTATAGAAAGAAGTAAATACCATAAGTCAAGCCTGTAAAAGATTCAGCCAAAGCTAAAAAAAAAATGGTTAAAAATCCTAAAGGCTCACAACAAAGTAATGCACGAATGGTCAACCAAATCTAAAAACATGCCAATAATTTTACTTAATAACAGATAATTCACAGGTCCAATTTTAATTACAGAGCATGTCTAAGTATCAATACCTTTATAAAGGTAACGTTATATGTAGAGACACCTGTTATGGGTGTTGAACTTCCATTTAGCTTTTAGTAAGTAGGCATATTTTATTAGCATTTTCTATTGACAGAAATTTAATTTATTTCTATTATTAGCCTAGTATAATAATTTACTGGATGATATAATGCACACTTTTGCCATCCACGTGTTGTTCTTAAGAGTTGAATAACAGAGATGAAGATAGTTAATGGTAGCAGACCATCTAAAAACAACTAAATTTAATCTAAACATTGACTGATCAAAGGAATTGCTACTTGTGCCTTGTCAGTGAAATCCTGGTTTCTTCTTCTGACAGGCTGTCAATGCCTAAAAGTGGGAATCTTTGTAACTCTAAGATAGTTTTCATCCTACATGTGTTTTGATGTAATTAAGGTTTACAGCGTGTTTGAATTGATAATGCTTTTGCAAGTTTTATTTACGTACTGTAATATTACAAGTTTTCTTTTTTCTCTAAGGTAGCTGCACTTGTTTGTGTTGCTGATTTTGTTCTTTTATAGCAAGACAATATACACATTTTGTGTATAATCTGTCCTGAACTATAGCAGCATGGTTTTGCATTTTGTGTTTTACATTCACATTTTACCCATTTTGTTCCTGGTTTTACTTTATGATTGTTTCAAAATTCAAAGTAAGCCATATAACACTAACATCGTATCTGCAGGTAATTCAGTATTCGCATTCTGCTTTGAATATCTTTGGCAGTTGTCCATTTTGGCTCACCTACCTCAAGTCTGATATTTTCCTTTCCAATTGAAATTCTATATCGACTCAAACAATATTGTATCTGACTTAACCCTCAATTTCTCTAAAAAACTACCAGTCTTTTCATATTGGTAGCTGGTTGACTTGTGGTACTTAAATTTTGCTATCTATATATTATTCCACTCAAAACAGAAACACTTCTGAGTATTCAATTCAAGAACCAAGCCATTAAGGCCTCAGTATGTTCAATCCTTTTGTCTTGTCTCTAAGCTATTAGCAAGCATTTAAGAAAAATACATAATAAAAAATATTGATACTTGTAAATAAGATATGTAAAGGAGATGGCTTTGGCTTACCTCAGAATTGCTGGTACTAATGGAGATTACTCAAATGAAGGCTTAGCTGTTGCAGACTTGCAGTTTCTGCCTTTATGGACTATAACCCTGACGAAATAAATGTTGGGCAGTCGTTTCAGCATTCATTGAAAATGTGGACCTTGATTAGCAGCTTCCTGCACAACAAGCCTAGCGGGAGGCATAGCTTGTTCTCCTGGTTGCGGTTGATTGATCGACGGGGTACTTACTATGCCCAGAACTGGATGTGCCCGAATCTGTTCAAACAAGCCCGTTCTTCGAATCGTCCAGTCGCCACACAGTCGCCCACGTGCCCAAGGTCGATCCTGGAGGACTACGCCCAGAACTGGATGCGCCGCGTAATCTGTCCAACAAGATTCTTCGAACTCGACAATCGCTATAGTTAGATTTCACTGTGGAAAAAATTGAAAGAACAAAACGGTCTGCCAATTGCCAAAGAACAAAGTTTAGAAACCCTAAATTTACTTAATATAAAGTAGGTATGTTTGTAAATATTTCGGGTCGGTTTCATAACACGCCCCGACCCGAATTCCGACATTTTAAAAAAAAAAATAATAAAAAATAAATGACCCGACCCGAAACTTTTTTTTCAAAAAAAAATCGCCCTAAATAAATGGCGTCGTGTCGAAACCGGTTTTTGATTTTCCGACCTTACACGTGATTGATTAGCCAATGAATTTAAGGTTCAAGTGACTAAGATTCTAGTAACAAATTAATGGAACAGCCGAAGGCCTTTTTTTTTCCCCATGAAACCCATTTTAATGTTTCAACAATCAGTAACTAGCTAGGTTTAGATTACTTTATGTTTGGGTATTCTTTTTTAATAGAATTTACTTTCTGCAACTGCAAGTAATTGATTTTATCTATGGGTTTTTACCTTTTAGTTGTTCAACTTAACGGTGAATGAAGAAGTAGAGCAAATCTTTAGTTTTGGTTCTGTTTTCCTCTGTTTTGTTCCTATATAAGAGTTGTTTTGTATTGTTATTGGTGTGATATTGTTGAATGCATTTACAAAGTCAGATATGCTGCTGCATTACTGGTTTCTGCATCACTGGATCCTGGGTTCTAGTCTTCTAGCTACTTCTGTTATCCCTTATTCTGTTATGTTCTCTCTTTTTCCCAACACCTTAAGTGATTCCCTTTTGGAATGTTGTATCTGCTTACAATTACAAACCAATTTATTTAAAGGATTTATCAGTCTATTGTGTTTTGATGGACATCAGCAAGACCCTTTGTCTTTTCGTGATTTTTAAGCATTGGGGGCAGTTTCCGTGCTGAAGTTAATAGCTTTTTTTTTTTTTTTGTCCTAGGCAAGATAGTGGATTAGAGGAGTTGAGTGGGGAAAGAAGGATGAGTCAGCTTGATAATATAAGTGTGTCCATGTCTTCTTGATGATGTTCCTTTTCCTCTATCTGCTGCAACATGTGCTTCAACTTGGATATATATGCAGAAGTACTGCCATTACAAGATTAAATCCTCACACTTGAAGCCATTGTGTTATTCAGGTAGAAATAAAAATGTTAGTACAATACATATAATAAAGTCTGCTGTGCATTTTTCTCCTCATTTGCTTTGCTGTAGAAGAAATGGGGATAAAAAAAGGGCTGTTACTCCTTCACCATATCCCTTTTACCTTCTCAAATAACCAAATGGATTTTAAATCAGTTTCATAAGTAAAATGGCTTGAAATTCACAAGGGGAACAATTTTAATAGGACACATAAGCCCATATGCTAAAAAATATTACCCAATAAAAATCCTCCACGCGGATTTTCCCTCAAACTAAAATATATATATATATATATATGTAAAAATAACTGAAGAAACATGGCGTGATTGATATAACCGACTTCCTTAGCGTGGCTAGAATCGACGCTGCAAAAACAATCCCGATATATCGGATTCCTTTCTACCTTTTAGATTGCCCCAATCTCTTTCTCTGTCTTCTCCCTTTTGCTGGTTTTGAATTGTTCGTAGTCGATTTCCATTTTTTTGAATTCTGGTTTTGCTGTTTTTTGTCGTTGCGGAAATTGAGAGATCGAAATTTTCGAAAATTTAAAATAAATATTATTATTAGTAGCAGTATTCTGTAGCGACTCGTTGACAATGCCGTCGATTTTAGTTTCCAAAGAGTGAGTCCTGAGTCGTCTCTCCATTTGTTTATACGTATTCGTGTATGCATGTATCGGATTCGTTTTCTGCATTTTTTTTATTGTTATACGGTCATTTCGCTTTTCTTATGGATTTTTAAGAGACTCTGTGATTGATTCAGGATTTTTTAGGGATTGTTCTTAAGATGTTATTGGCAATTTTTTTGGGAAAACTAGTCAGGAGCTTTCACTAGCTGAATCAAGTTCAAGAAAAGGGAAAAATTAGTAATTAATAGTAGAAATCTCTGGGTATTATTTATATGAGAATTTTATAAAAATTGAACAATTCAAGAAATTTTGGCGGCTTTTCTGGGGTGAATTTTTATAGGAAAAGAAATAAAATAGTTACATTCATTGACAGTTTGCTCCTAGATGCCATATTGTGAAACCGTTTCTTTTTGTCATCAATAAACAAAAGGAATTTACTCATGGACAATGCCAGTACTGCATTCGGTTCCTCGATCGTAAAATCTGGAAAACAGATGAAGAGAAGAGAGAGAGAAAATGGGGATGAATTCAGTGAAATGGAGATATATCCTTATCATAAGCGGCACCATCCTCGGCGATATCCTGGGCTTCTACGTTGTGCACCGCGTCCAAGTTCGAACTCAACCACAAGGTCTTTACATATATATATATATATTAATTTACTTTATAAATATTGTAAACTTTTGATATTTGTTTCGACAGGAGAAAAAGGAGGAGGGATTAAGGCAGTCCGAAATTGAATTGAAGAAAAAAGAGGAGCTAAATGAACTTGAAGATTCCCCTAGCTCTACCTCTTTTTACAGTTAAGCAAACTATTTCTCTATCCACTTTTCCACCTTGTTGCTCCGCCTGAAATGATATTAAGAAAATAGTGTCCATAATGCAAGCTTCATAATTGATTTTTCAGAGAAAAAAAATATATATATTTGAGGATAAATAGGGATTAAAGTTTTGTGTTAAAATAACCGGTGGTAGGAAATTTTTATTAGTTGCAAAAACGAAATGGAAAATTAGATAGATTACGTGAAGGAGAAAATTTATTCTCATGGGGAATAAGGATGATTAGGGTTTAAGAAGAAAGTTTCTCTAATCAGATAATGGAATTTTGGAATGCCATAAAAATTCTCTTTCCTTTTTGAGCATGCCAAAATGGTGAGAGTTTCATCATCATTCCGCTTGAACAAGACAGGAGGGAAAGGAAAAGATAAAAAGAACACTGAATTTAGATTTTAGAGGAATAGAAAATGATGCCCATTTTGCTTGTTCTTTGTCACAAAATTTGAAGTTTTGACTTTTCAAATAGCTGTTAAGCAACAGCCAAGGAGCTATACATAGAATTGAGTTTAGTCTGTGGCAATGAGCTGTCCCGGTGAGAAACAAACATTAAGAATTAGACAATGATTATACTGCTAACCTTTTTTGTGTCCTGGCAAGACGCAAAATCATGCTTCTCTCTCTCTCTCTCTCTCTCTCTCTATATATATATATATATAACTTTTGACAATCTGCATTAGCTTAGATATAACTTTCAGTTGTAATTTTTTCCCCTCTTAAAGCTATGTTCCTTGTGTTGTAGCAGTCATCTAGGACCATACTTGCTTTGACTTGTTTTCACGTTGTGAGTTCGGAGATCTGCCCATTTTGCTTACATTTCTATGTGTTCCAAGTTGATTTAATGAAGGATTAATTATGTTGTAGAGCAAGTTACCTGGAATGTGCTCCTTCTCCTTGTGCCCACATGCCCCATTGGTTGTCTTGAATCGGGAGTTGATTCACTAAGTTTGTTGTCAATGTGGCTTTTGTGCAGGGACATGCCCCGTAGGTGGTTAATCTACACAAATATTGTTCCATCTTCTCCAAAAAAAAAAAAACAAAGAAGGCAAAAAGTAGATGGGCCTTTCCAAAAAGAGGCCCAGTCGGCCTGTTCCCTCCACAATTTTCTCTTTCTTCCCGCCAGAGCTGAAATAATGATTTCTATTTTTCTCTTTCTCTAATTACTAAAAACAAAAATATTAATTAAAAGAAGAATCAATAAAATAAAATAATTAAAAAAAAATACAGGGAGCGAAGATGCAAACAGCAATTGAGTTATTCCAAGTACATTTAAGAATCGACATGAAGCGATCTCTTATTTGGATTGAAAAAGTTTAAGCAATGGCAGTATCTCCTCCTCCTTCTTCAACGTCCATGAAGAAGAGGAAGAAGAGCAACAACGCCAAAACTAAATCCAAGACAGTTCCATCCACCAACTCTGCTTCCTCAACTCACCCACAATCCAGTCCAAAGCGTCGTCGACGCAACAAATCCCCTGGAGTTCGACTCGTACATGGCCGAATCTACGATTCTCAGAATGGCAAGACTTGTCATCAGGTACTTCTTTTATTAGCCTCATGGGTTTCTCATTAAGTTTGTTGCTTTTTCTTGGGAAAATTACGTATGCTTGTTTGTTGAAAATTTTGGAGTAAAATGATGGCAGTGTAGACAAAAAACAGTGGATTTTGCAGCATCATGCAAGAGAAAGATTAAGGACAAGCAATGTACCATCCATTTTTGTCACAAATGCCTCTTGAACAGGTATTTTCTTCACGTTCCCCATTCAGCTTTTTTACCTTGTTTTTAACATTCCAAGACTTGCTGGATCTTAGTCTGCAAGCAGACGAAATCCCATTGTCAAGATTCTTCATAGAACCTTTAAACTATCACATCTTCATAGAACCTTTAAACTAGCACATCTTCAAGTTTAATAATCAGTGACTTTTCACTTTATATTGTCATTTTATTTTTCTTTTTCTTATATTTGAAATATGATTAGCTGATTGTTTTTTTAAATGTCGATCAGATATGGAGAGAAGGCTGAGGAGGTGACATTGTTAAATGATTGGACTTGTCCTAGATGTAGAGGGATTTGCAACTGTAGTTTCTGCATGTCAGTCTTATGTTGTTGGCAAATTTATAAATTTAAATACCCAATTGCAAATATTTTCTTTGTTTCAGATCTTTAATTTTTGTTTTTTTTTTTTTTATAATCAAAATGGGAAATTTTGAATCTTGTAGGAAGAAGCGAGGTCACCAGCCTACTGGCATTCTTGTACATACTGCAAAGGCAAATGGGTATGCCTCAGTCTCGGATATGTTGCATCTTAAGGACTCTGAAGGTTCAGGTTCTCTAGAGACTGTTGATGCAGTTGTCTCTTCAAAAAAGAGAAAAGCTGCAGCTAAGGTTTGATTTGGATTTTTCATATGTTTTTTTGCTTCAAAGGTCTGCCATTAAAATTCTTGGGTATGTTTAGGGTTATGTTTTCCGAGAGAATGATCAATAATGAGGAATATAAATTCTGCTTTAATCCTTGCTATATAATTTTCAGAAAATAAGATAATTCAACTTACACTATGACAGTTTACAAGGTTTGGCACACTTAAAGGTCCTTTTTGGTTGAGTCTTAAATGATGATAAGAAGATATAAAAAGTTTCACTTTTTCCCTTTACCTTCATTTCCATGACAACTTTATAGGTACGTGTTTCTACTGATTATGAACTTTATAAAAGGAATGTTCATTAAACTTTTCTAACAGGAATCTGGAGTGAAAGAAACTGGCAATAGCAGAAGGGAAAGCAGTTTTAAAGGGCCAAATGGTTCAATACAAGCCAGTGATAAAAGGACTGCAACTAGAAATACCAAGTTGACAAGATCAAGGAACAAGAATAGTAAGGAAATTGCATCCCAAGGCTATGATACTGAAATCTCAACCCAAAAGATTAATCCTAAAAAACCTAAAATCTCCAAAGAGGCATCATACCAAGGAAAAGTGATTTACAACAGGAATGATACTATCCAGCTAATTAATCTGAAAATTCCTAAAATGCGTGACTGCGGAGAAGATGAAGTGCTGAACAATGCAGCTCCTGTAGCAAAGAACAAGCCAATTATTAAGTCTCCAACTCGTAAGATGAAAAATCTAAATGTCAAAAGCAAAGCTTCTGATGCTGAGATCCGACTGCCTCAAGGCTTATTATTAAACTGTATAGCTGGCATTGATTTACCTGTTGAGGATGTTGGCCATGCCTTGCAATTTCTAGAATTTTGTGAAGCTTTTGGAGAGGTAAACTTGTTATCTGTTTCATGTAGTATAAATCTTAATAGGGTAAAATATCAACTTTTTTAGCTCTAAATGCTCACTTAGTAATTTTGTTTGAGTTATTCCTGAAATTAAGAAATTGGCCTTTTTCACTTCTGCATGCTTGCATGTATCAAAATGCATTCAAGTATTCTCTTTTCTGCTTGAGTAATTTTTCTAAATCTTATAAAGAACTAAAATGCTTCTATCTAACTTGTTGGATAGCTTTGAAGATTTTCAATGGTGTATTTTCTTCAATGTTCTTGTTTTATTCATTTGAGGGACCACTTGATAGAATATTTTCAGTGAACCATTGTTAAATATGTTAAGCAGCTAGAACCTACTTAATGCATTTATTCCAGATTATTTTTGGGTTTTTTTATTAGCATTGAATGCATTACCTCTATACAACAACAACACACTAAGCCTTATATCCCATATTTTGGGGTCGGCTAGTATGAAAAACCAAATAAGAGAATCAAATTAGGTTGTAGTTTGAATCCTCTTGCGCCACTCATTTCTATCAACAACCACCTTTTCATCTAATTCTTTAACCATCATATCATTTTTTATTACTTGCATCTATATCTTTCGTGGTCTACCTCTAGATGTTTTGATCTCACCTAGATCTAGAGACTTGATTCTCCTAACCAGTGCACAGCTAGGCCTACGTTTCACATGTCCAAACCATCGCAAATGACCCTCTCTCATCTTCTTAGTGATTTACTTCTATATATTAATTAAAATGTCTTCAAAGCTATCTTCTTTTAATGTATCGTAGATTTACCTTATCTATAAAACTATATCTCTTTTGTAAAAATATCTACTTAAAATATATTTAGTATTTAGTTTTTTACTGCATATTAAACAATTTTCAGAGTATAAGTTCAATATTTGGGGAATTTAATACTAAATATTCAGCACTGTTATTTTTTAGTTTACCAAACAATACCTAAAAGGTTTACAAATTTTGCTCTGTTAATTTTTATTTAATTTTTGACTAAAATTTTGGAAAAAAAAGGAAAGAGGCAATTGTTTTTTGTTATTGATTTCTACCTATTAAAGTTTGTGAAGTACCTAATGTATTACATTGTGGTGCTTAATTCTCTTTGTGAATAACTGTGTGATATGTCCTTTTCATCTATTCCAAACCAGAGACATCAGATAAAATTTATATCTGCTTATTTCTGAGGTTATCATTTATTTATTGGTTGATTTTTAGGTTTTTAGTATGAGGAAAGGACAGTCTCAACTGTTACTTAGAGAGTTAGTTACTGGACAAAGTAAACGCAGACTACGCCATTCTTCACTTGTGCAGTTTCATATACAACTGCTCTCTGTGGTGCAAAAAGATTCAGGAAAAGAGTATGCATTTTTAACTAGATTCATAAAAAATTCAGTTCCTTCTTTTAGTTGGTATTGATCATCTGAACTAAATCTTTGTACAGGTATCCTTGCCTAAAGCAGAATTTAAGTGAAAATTCATGGTTGCAAGTTCTTAGAGAATACATCAGTAATTCACAATATCCGTTAAAGCAGCTGCTATTGGATTGTTTAGATGTGGGTGATGATGGATATGAGCAGTTAGATTCCTCAAAAAAATTTAGAATCTTAAACTTTCTGTGTGATGAAGCTCTCGGCACCACGTAAGTCGTGAAGTTCAATAAATTATGTTCATGTTTCTCTTTCTTTTCAGATTCTTTTGGAAATGTATGAATGAAAAGTCATACTTCTTCCTTCAGGGGTTTTAGGAGCTGGATTGATGAACAAAACTCAAAATTTGTTGACAAAGAAAAGAAAGCAAAAGTAGAACTTCTTGCTCAAAGGGAGAAGGTAATAGCATCAATATGGCAAATACCCTCAAGCTAATGCTAGTGTTAATGCCTTAGTTAGTCTGATCATAATTCCTTTGAATAGGAGAGAAACATGGAAAAAGAGATGAAGAAGAAGTTGCAGGATGAGATAGCCAAAGCTATTCTCATGAAAAATGGTGCTCCTCTTTCCATTTCAGAGAATGAAGACCTTCTTTCTAGAATAAAGTCAGAAGTGGCTCAAACTCTTGAAGTAGCCCATACTCTTGCAAGTGCATTGGAAGTGTCGGAAACAGTGCTTGAGGGTATGTTCTGTATACATGTTGCAATTTTCACAAGCACTCTAGACTTTGTTTTTCCTTGTCACAACGTTTTTCTTTGAAGAGAAGTAAAGAACCATTTATCCTGAAAGAACGGACTCATTTCCTTTGTCCAGTTCTCAGCCTCTAAGAATTCTACAGTATACTGGGCAGAATCTTGTCCTGTTCTTAATGCTTAAGGATCAGAGAAACTTTGTATGGAAAGTCTTGCACTCCTGTCTTTCACAATACATGCAACATCAGAATTAGCAGTGGTCAACACTCAACAGCATCCTTTGCATTTTGGGGGCTGAATGACTGAGCCGCCCATTCAAACATGAGAAATCTAGGAAACCTAGCCACTGTAAACCTGGGCATATAAATAAGATAATGCCCATTGATAGTAGATGAAGAGATAACATGCTTGGGATCTCCATATAGTAATCAATATACCTAACTATTAAAGTAGAAGCTCTACAACTTTCCAATCCGCTATATTAGCACCTAGAAAAGAAAATTCTTAAAAAGAAATGCCTGTGTTGGCAACATATGAAACTGCCTGGCAAAAAGTGCAGGAGCAAGCAAGACCCCATTGAGAATGGAGTGACAGAATATTTACTCGATTGAGGATTACAAGCAAGGAGCTAATCTAAAGTTTAGAATATCCGGGGTTTTCAAGTTTCCTTGGAATGATAATAGTTGTGGACAAGAATTCCACAGCTGGATATTACCCTTAATCGAATCTCTGGTGCATAATAATCTGATAATAGCAATTCTAGGTGATGCTAAGAATACAAAATCAGAACCGGCCATTATAATCTGCTGTTCCCAAGTACTCAAGCTTCTAAGTCCAGTTATGATTGGTAAGTGTTCAGTACCGTGATAAATACGGTTCTTGATGTATTACAGAAGAAGCAAAGAGAATTGCGGCATTCATGTATGCGGAGGCCCATAAATTAGAACACTCCTTGGGTGAATTTAAAACTGGGCTGTAAATAGTATACTCTAGTTGTTTGGCCAATATGCCATATAGAATATTTCTTTAGTAATCTCTCAAAATTATTTGCACCCTCTTTACCATAAATATGGTTTCTTGGCATCCTTTTATGGGTTACTATTCTCAATTTGAATATTATGAGGATGCTTAGCATTTTGTAGTACCTGGTGATTGTACTAAAAAATTTCTAAGGGTCATAATGCCTTTGGAAACAATAGAAGCCTAAAAAAGTGTCTATTTGATCTTTTAAAAATAAATTTCAGTTTTTTGCTTATGTGCATAAGAATCTCTTCATATCCTAATATAATGCTGCAAAGTTCTTTGCTTTATGAGTGTTTGTCAATCCATGCTTGTCTGAGCATTGGTTTCTTGTGGAGCACTCATCATAAGATGCAATTTTAAGCGATTGCTGGAGTCTTATCTTTCAGTGTTACTGTCATAGACTGCATTATATCGTTGTTCACAACTCTTCCTGAAGTGGATTCATTGTGGTTCATATGCACTTGTTACTACAGTCATTTCTTTAGTTGCACATAATCAAACTGTCTGCTGACTTTGTTCTCGACTCACTTGCCCTAATTGATATTAATATGAACTTCTAACTTTTTTTTTATTTAATTCTTTGGGATCTCAGATAGAAAGCTTTTAAAATAAATGTGTGGAGTAAGCATCTTAATTAGCCCGTAGATGATACTGTTCTTACATTATCACTTGAAGAAATTTGGTTAATGGAGCAAATGATATTTCAACACCTTGAAACTGATCCTAACACAAATGATAATCTTTACTAAAACTGAATATCTACCCTTTCCGCTTGCCTCTGTGCTTGTTATATGGGCCTTAATTATTGTATAAATGAATCCTAATGCACATAATTCAGTTGACATATTTTACTTTGCAATTGATGCCCAAAGAGGACTCGCGATCAGATGCTGTTAGATTAGAGCCTGTGGAAAAATGAGAGTATATTGAAAAACTTGTGTATAGAATCATACAAACACCATAGATTTAAATATAACTAACTAGAGGGTAAACTAGGAAACCAAATATTCCTAAATTTGATCCCTATAATTAAGGAATTGTCTATCTTGATATTCTGTCCTTAATTTTAGAGATACAAATTCTCAATTTTAGGGATATAGATATATACAGATTACAATCAGCAGATTACAGAATACAACCACTTGTAACTAAATGTTTTCCCACACTCCCCCTCAAGCTGGTGAATAGGTGTTTTCCATTTCTAGCTTGGAAATAATTTCTTGAAATGTTGCACTGTTGAGGCCTTTAGTCAACACATTTGCAAGTTGACCCTTGGTTGATACATATGGGGTGCAAATCAATCCACTGTCTAATTTTTCCTTTATGAAGTGTCGGTCTACTTCAATGTGTTTTGTTCTGTCATGTTGCACAGGATTGTGTCCAATGCTTATTGCAGATTTGCTATCACAGTAAAGTCTCATTGGTCCATCCCATTTGATCTTCAAGTCTTCTAGAATAATCTTTAACCATAGTAGTTCACAAATTCCATGAGCCATTGCCCTAAACTCTGCTTCAGCACTTGATCTTGCCACCACATTCTGTTTTTTACTCCTTCAAGTTAGAAGATTATCACCTAGAAAAGTGCAGTAGCCTGAGGTAGATTTTCTGTCAGTTATTGAACTTGCATAATCAGCATCTATATATGCCTCTAGTACCAACCTTGAATTTCTTTTAAACAAGATACCTCTCCCAAGATTGGCCTTCAAATAGTGTAGTACACAGTAGACAGCCTATAGGTGTACTTTTTTAGGACTATGCATAAATTGACTTATCACACTCACAGCATATGTTATGTCAGGTTTAGTATGTGAGAGATAAATAAGTCTTCCAACTAATCTCTGGTACATTTTCCTATCTACAGCAGCATCTTCATTAGCTTCTCCAAGCTTATGATTAGGATCTATAGGGGTACTTGCAGGTTTACATACGAGCTTCCTAGTTTTTTTCAAAAGATCCATCACATATTTTTGTTATGAGATAAAAATACCATGACGTGAGTGGGCTACTTCAATTCCTAGGAAGTATTTCAATCTCCCTAGCTCTTTTATCTCGAATTTTTTGGCCAAACATTGTTTTAGAGGCTTTCTTTCTTTTTCATCATCTCCAGTTACAATTATATCATCAACATATACTAATAGAACTGTGACCTTTCTTGAATCTGAGTGCTTGATAAACAGTGTGTGATCCCCTTGACTCTGTTTATATTCCATTCCTAGCATCACTTTGGCAAATCTCCCGAACCAGGCCCTAAGAGACTGTTTAAGGCCATATAAAGCCTTTTTCAGCTTGCATACTTTTTTTGCTTCTAGATGACCCTCAAATCTCGGTGGAACTTTCATATATATTTCTTCTTCCAAATCACCATGTAAAAAGGCATTCTTTACATCAAATTGTTGAAGTTGCCAATTGTAATTTGCCGCCAAGGATAATAAAATAGTAATTGTATTCATCTTGGCAACTGGAGCAAAAGTTTCTTGATAATCCACTCCATAAGTTTGAGTGTAGCCTTAGCCATCAGCTTGGCCTTGTATCTTTCAATAGTACCATATGCCTTATACTTTACAGTGAAAACCCATTTACACCCAACTGGATGTTTTCTTGCAGGCAACTCTATCAGTTCTCATGTCTTATTTTTCTCTAAGGCTTTCATTTTTATTTTCATCGCCTACCTTCATTGCTTGTTGGATAATGCCTTAGATAATGTAGTTGGAATAGAAATAGTATTTAAGCTCACAAAAAATTTTTATGGGATGGTGAAAACTTTTCAAATGACACAAAATTAGAGATTGGGTATAATGGATGTTTAGTACATTCTCTAGTTCCTTTCCTAATGGCAATAGGTAGATCATAATCACTAATTTTAAGAGAGTCGTGCTCATTTTGAGAAATAGAATCAGAGACTGTAATTACCTCATTTTCAGAGTTAGGATCAGGTTCTTGGATTTGCACTGGTTCAGGAGCTGGAACTTTTTTTCTTGAGTATACCTGAAATTCTTTCACAGAATCAAGAATAGTTTACCTTTGTCATTTCTTTCTAAACAATCTTTCAATAAAGACAAAATTTTGCTTTATCATTTTTGTCTTTGGAACTTTGAGAAACATGTTTCCTTCTTTATTCAAAGGATTAAACATTGAAGATTTTCATTGTGATGTTTGTGAACTTGCAAAACACAGACGTGTATCTTTTCAATTAGTGACAAAAGAAGTTCTACTCCTTTTTACTTGATTCATAGTGACATTTGGGGTCCTTTTACAGTTCCTAATATTTTTGGGGTAAGATGGTTTGTTTCATTCATAGATGATTGTACCAGGGTTTTTTGGGTTTTTTTACTTAAATCCAAATCAGATGTGAATAGTGTGTTTTTTAGCTTCCAAAACATGATCTAAAATCAATTTGGAGTGAGAATCAAGAGATTAGGTCTGATAATGTAAGAGACTATTTCAACCAGAGTCTATCCACCTATTTCCAAAATGAGGGGATTATCCATGAGTCATCTTGTGTTAATATTTCATAGCAAAATGGAGTGGCAGAGAGAAAAAACAGTCATTTACTAGTCACAACCCCAGCCTTCCTTTTTCAAGCAAATGTGCCCAAATCTTACTGGGGGAAGTTGTTCTCACTGTTACACACACATTACAATTAGGTTACTTTCAAGGGTTTTGGGATTTAAAACTCCTACGTAACTACTCTCACAATTCTATTCCAACCTTAATACCACAAACAACCTCACACCTAGGATATTCGGTTGTGCATCATTTGTTCATGTTAAGTGTATCTTTGTGGCGTATTCATCAACTCAAAAAGGGTATAAGTTCTATCATCCTCCTATCAAAAAATTTTATGTGTCTGCAGATGTCACTTTTGAAGAAAGTAAACCATTTTTTACTCAACCTTATCTTCAAGGGAGACATCATTTATAGAAGATAAGGATAAAGACTTCTTTTTGCTTGACTTGCCATCCTCCTCCAAAACAGTTTCACCCATTAATTCTTTTGAGCCTAAACCCATTTTTTCAGAGTTCAAGTCAAACACTAATTCTAAATCTGAACCCATTCCAAACACAAAAGTTGTGACTAAGGATAATACTATTCTTGATATTACTTATGTTGTTGGATGTCTCAAGATAGTATAATCCATCCTTCTCTTTAGCAAGTCCAATCCTCTTTCTCGAACCTGGTCTTGAAATTCACAGTAAGAAGGATAAAAAGTCACATTGCAGTTCATATCTCTAGTAAGTCTTTGTATAGATATCAGATTAGTAGACAATCTAAGAACATGAAGAACATTTTTAAGAACGAATGAGAGATTAATTTGAACATCTCTTAATCCTGCCACTGTAGTAAGTGAACCATCTGCAACAGTAATTTTCTTATTACCAGGACATAGGGTATATGTATTAAACTTTTGTGAAGAATGTGTCAAGTGGTCTGTGGCTCCTGAGTCAATGACCCAAAAACTCTTAATGGACTTATCCGAGACATTTAATCCATGAGAATTAGAGACTTTACCTGCACTAGAGTCCTTACCTGAGTGTGCCAAGGAGCATACACCAATAGCCTTTTCAAGAGTTCCCAATAGGCTTCTCAGTTTCTCAATCTCTTTTTTATCCAACTCTCTTTGTTCCTGAGACTTCTCTTGGTTTAACTCCATTGCAGTCATGTGAGCTTGTCCTTGATTTCTTGGTTGTCCTCTTTTATAACCCCATTCTTTGCTTGAAGTTGAAGGTTTTCCATGTAGTTTCCAGCAACAATCTCTGGTGTGCCTTGGCTTCTTGCAATAGGTGCACCAAAGATTGTCGCGATTTGAAGTTTTAGTCGAATCACCTTTTCCCATTCTCACTGACTGGTAATTGTTCTAAGCTTTGGTTTTTCCCACCATTAGAGACCATAGCAGATCCTTCTACATGCACACTGTCAAGCATCCATCACTCCTCTTCTGCTCTTTTCTGCTCTAACCATGGATATCACTTCATTTAAAGAAGGCAGATCCTGTTTTCCCAGAATTTGGACTGTGACTTGATCAAACTCAACATTCAGTCCAGCAAGAAAATCATAGACTCGATCTTTTTCAATAAATTTCTTCAAAGTTGTTGCATCTTCATTGCACTTCATTTCTATGCACCGATAGTGATCCATCTCTTGCCAAAGATTTTTAAGAAGAATAGCATACTCTGTGACTGACTTATTCCCTTGTTTGAGAGCTGCAGTCTTGATCTTTACCTCATAGACTTGAGCAGCATCTTTAACTTTGGAATAGGTTTGATGAATTGATTCCCAAATGTCTTTGGCTGTGGACAAAAACATACAAGTGTCACTAATATCTGGTGTCATAGAATTCCACAGCCATGACATAACCATAGAATCCTCTTCATCCCAAGCCTCAAATTTTGGATCTTCTTTCTCAAGACCAGTGCCAAGAAGATGGCTCAATTTTCCTTTCCCTTTTAGAAAGGTTTGAACCAACTGGGACCACTTAAAGTAGTTCTTTCCATTCAATCTGTATGCAGCTTGGATATTCTGTAGTTCCCTTGTGGTTTGACCAGTTGTTACTTCTCCAAATCGAATAGTAGCGGCAGATTCTGCTATTTCTGACATGGTTACCTTTCTCAGGACTGAAACGAGTATAGGCAGTGAAGGCAAAAAATAAATAAATAAATAAAAGTATAACAGACTTAACAGAATTTGGCTATGAAGGCCTAAAAAAATTCAGCAATGAAGGCTGAAAAATTTTCTTCCCAAGAAGAGCCTAAAGCTCTGATACCATGTGGAAAAATGAGAGTATATTGAAAAACTTGTGTATAGAATCATACAAACACCATAGATTTAAATACAACTAACTAGAGGGTAAACTAGGAAACTAAATATTCCTAAATCTGATCCCTATAATCAAGGAATTGTCTATCTTGATATTCTGTCTTTAATTCTAGAGATACAAATTCTCAATTTTAGGGATACAGATATAGACAGATTACATCAGCAGATTACAGAATACAACCACTTGTAACTAAATGTTTTCCCACAGAGCCAATATTTTGGGATGGCCATAGTCACAAATTATACAAATTCTGGAGATTGAGAGGCTACTCTGGTGAAGCAGATGTTCTGCTTCAAGGTTTGTCTTTTACTTAATAATCCAATATTCGAATTTATTCAGCTTATCAACCAAATCGCAATTTGATTTGTTTCCATTAATGTGTAGATATTGAGGGCAGAGATTCAGTTGCAGCTAAAGAAATATGGTATACCTACAGCACTGAACAGAAAGCTACCATTGAGAAATATATTTCATCTGTCAGGTATCAAAAGTGATTGACTTTATCCTCCTCCCTTTTTTGTCAAATTTGTCCTTTCAGACTTGATCATGGAAATTTTATATAGCAGATTAACTGGTAGCTGCAACTGAAAGTTAGTAGGCTATACATATAGATTTGCAGAATGGATCATTTAAAACTAAATATATCAGAAGTGATCAGATTGATTTCCATGTCTCCTAATTTTATTTATTTGACTATAGCTGATGTGGTTATAGGGAGGCCCAAACATGTATTATACCCTAGGATAATACCGCTGTGAATTTTTCATGGGGAGAATTGCATCTTATGCTATTATTAGGGTATGTTATGGTGACTGGAACCCCAGTGATGTCGGGAGTTCACTCTCTGAGGGTGTAGGGTGAACCTCCTGGCCAAGCCCCAGGTTAAGTATTAAAAGTTTTCTGACCAGTGGTAGATACTTTTAATTACATTGTGCTTGAAAGTTAAAGTTGGCGGAGAGGGAGATTTGAACTAAATATCTCCTTAACTAGCAGCTAGAAATAGAGGATTTTGTATATATTTGTTAGTAACAATTTTCCTATTTTCCTTGGATGTTCTGGGAATGGTTCTGTTTGTTGAATCCTGCATAAGGGATTTCATCAAGATCGGGTGTCCATTCTTTAATTAAGTGCTTGTTATTGGTTATTCAAGCATTCTATAAAACTATTATTTACATTTTTTGGTAATTTCTTTGCAGGACGCAGAGGAAATGAGGCAAGCAATATGCCTCGTATGATTTCAGGAAATATTACAGTTACTGTACAATGTTATCTATTAACTCCAAACTCTTCAGGAGAGCAAATCGTTTTGTATACCAATGTTGAGGGCATAATTTTGCCCTCTTTTGTCGAGGCAAGCCTTTGGTTCTTGTCCACTTAATGACCCTCATTGTATGTTTCCATGTTTTCTCAATGTGTGCCATTCAAGACACTCCCAAACCCAAAGTCTCGTGCGGTTTACCTTATAAAGCATCTCAACATGGAGGGAATGAATGGAATGGTAAAAAAATAACAATGAATGATCCTTTTTTTCCTTGTTTGGATGCCCAAGGAAAATGAATAATAGTTATCCACTCAGCTGGAGCTCCTTGCCAACACACAACTGTGGGTGGTTCTCCGGCGAGGGATGCGGTTGTGCTCTTGAGAAACATCCTCCTACCTGCAAATGGCAAAGAGAGTAGGAAAGAGTAAATGCTTAATTATCAGTGTCTAAACCTCCTACTTGCAAACGGCAAAGAGATTAGGAAAAAGTAAATGCTTAATTATCAGTGTCTAAATGATGACCGCAATTTGAAATGCTGGCATCTATTTATCTGTCTACCATTCTCTCTCTCTCTCTCTCTCTATATATATATATATATATACACACATACATACATATATAGTCCTCATTTGTGGCACTCATTTGCAAGGTCGCATGCTTTCCCGAAATCCTCAGTTCAAAATTGCAGTTCACTGGCCGAAATCAATAGCTCCAGTCATCTTCTCAATTTCCGGAATAACCATTTCAGTGTCGTCCAATGCTTCTTCCCAAGAAAAAGACTGCTTGAAAAATCTTTTTACCATTTGTCAGAGCCTAAGCATGATTGGAGTTGGGATCAAAGAGACGAGAAGATAAAAGGCAAAGAGAGAATATAAGGAGAATGAGAGACGAGAATTTAACCTTTTCATTCATATATCGTGATCGTTACAATGATGAGAGCTATATAGCACTATGTGACAGTAAATTTTATAACTGAATTGTAAATAATGACAAAAAATAACAGCTGTTATAACAGACTGACTCCTAGCATCCAATACAATTTATTTATGTAGACTCTTCCGTGATTAGCCTCGAAGTTAGCCAATAACGGTCATTTAACGCACAACTTCTTTGTCAGCTTCTTTTCACACTCAGCCCCATTCTGCCAGCTTTAGGCTCCATTTTTTATTCTAGCTTCATCTCCTTTTCTAAATTCATGACAATACCCTCGCTTCATTGGATCCTTTCCTCTAAGAATCAAAAGATTAAAATTGTGATTTCAGCACCGTGTAGTCCTCCCAGGTTGCATTCTCAGGTCTAAGATTGGACCCACTATTAGAAGTTGGATGACCGTTTGGTTATTCCTTTTGACCATTCTTTTACCGAGTACCTTAGCAAGATACACTAATGGTTGAACTTTTTCATTCACTCCTGATGGAGCTAAACTTGGTACTGCCTAGTTTCCAACTTTCTTCTTTAACAGACTAACATGAAAGACAGGATGAATTTTTTATGTGGGAGGCAATTGAAGTTTATAAGCTACTGAACCAATCTTAGCTAAAACAGTATAGGGACCATAATATCTCGAGGAAAGCTTTAAATTCTTTCTCAGAGCTAAATATGTTTCTTTGTAAGTTTGAAGTTTTAGGTAAACCTCATCATCGATTTGAAACTCCCTTTCATTTCGATTTCTATCTGTATAGTACATAATTCTTTGTTGAGCCTTCCCCAATTGATCAATCAACAGCTTGCTCACTTGGTCCCTGTCTCGAAGTAGCTCTTCCACTGTTGACACTTGAGCTTGGCTATTGACATCCCAATTCCAATTAGGTGGCTTATATCCATATAGTGCCTGAAAAAGAGTCCAACTTAAAGCAATGTGGAAACAGTTGTTGTACCACCACTCAGCAAGAGGTACCTATTGTGGCCAGGTTTAGGGTTTTAAACGACACATGCATCTCAAGGATTGCTCTAGGCAACGGTTGACTCTTTCAGTTTCACCATCAGATTATGGATCGTATGCTGTTGTGAGTTGTATATTTGTTCCCAATAATTTCATCAATTCCTATTAGAATAAGTTGGTGAATACTTTGTCCTTATCTGAAATGGTAGCTTTTGGCGTTCCATGGAGTTTGTGTACTTGATTCAAATATATCTTTGCGACTTTAGATGCTGTATAAGGGTGAGAAAGAGATATACAAAGTGGTCATACTTGGTAAACTTATCAATGATCACCAATATGCAGTTGAATTTCTGTGACAGTGGAAAACCTTCTATGAAATCCCTAGTAACTACCTCCCAAGCTTGTGTGGGGATGGTAATGGGTTGCAATAGACCAGGATAGGGAACATTGTCATCTTTATTCTTCTGACATTTATCACATTGTTGAACGTGCTTTCGGATTTGTTTCTTCATTACTGGCCGGTAGAAATGAAGCTTAATCCTACAATAGGTAGTTTGACCTCCAGAATGCCCTTTTTGGGGTGAGTCATGCATCTTCTATCACCTTCTCCCTTGATTGGTTATGGCTTCCTGTATATACCTTTCCTTTAAACTTGAGAATACCATTATTATAAGAGTAGTGATTAGATGTTGGGGCTTGAACTACTATCGCCTTAATTTGTTCCTGAGCTGTAACATCATCAACGTAACTTTGTTCCACTTCTTTTACCCATCCTGGCCTTATAGTGGTAGAATGCAAACTATAGCTATGTGCCTCTTCATATTGTCTTAAAAAAGCATCTACCACCATGTTCGTTTTGCCCTTCCCGTATTGTATTGTATAATCTAATCTCAAAAGTTTGGTTAACCCTTTTTCTGGATGGTTGTAGTTAACTTTTGCTCTAATAGGTGCTTCAAGAGTTCATGATTAGTTTTTATAACAAATGGCCCCCCTTCTAAATAATGTCTCCACTACTGCACAGCCATAAGAATGACCGAGTACTATTTCTCGTATATAGATAAGTCTTAAGTGTTTAGATCCTAAAGCTTTATTCAGATAAGCTATAGGTCTTCCATTATAAGATAACAGAACCTCAATACCTACTCCACTAGCATCAGTCTCGAGACAAAATGGCTAAGTCAGGCAGTGCCAAAACAGAAGTAGCAGATGTAGGTTCCTTTAACTGTTGAAAAGTTGTTATTGCAGTAGATGTCCAACTAAACCCATCATCAAAGGCTTACTGATCACTCCATAGTTTCTGATAAATTTCTTGTAATAACCAGTTAAGCCTAAGAATCCCCTCAACAATTTCAAGCTTTTTGGTAGCTGCCAGTTCTGTATAATTTACATCTTGGCAGGATTGGTGGAGACTCCTTGTACTGAGATATTTCAAAGATATTCAACCTGTTTTTGACCAAAGAAGCATTTGCTTCTTTTTGCATACAACTGATTCAATCTTAAAGTATCAAGTATGATTTCCCGAAGCTCCGCATGCTTTGTCAAGTTAGAACTATAAACAAAGATATCATAAAAAAAACCTAGAACAAATTTCCTCAAGTAAGGAGAAAATATATCATTCATCAAGGATTGAAAAGTTACAGGAGCATTAGTAATCCCAAAGAGCATTAACTTGAATTCATAGTATCCCTGATGTGTTCTGAAGTTTGTCTTAGGTTTGTCTCATTCCTTGACTCTGATCTGCCAATATTTCGATCTAAGGTCAATTTTGGAGAAGTAATTAGGACCCTTCAGCTCATCTAAAAGATCTTCAACAATTGGAATTGGGAACTTATTCTTCACTGCTATAGCATTTAGTTGTCTATAATCTATGCATAGCTTCCATGACGCGTCATTTTTCTAACTAGTAGTCACGGTGAAGTAAAGGGGCTCTGGCAGTTCTGTATCACAGATGAGGACAATATGTCTTAAATCTATCTCTCCGCTTTAGCCTTTTGATGATGAGTGAACCTGCAGGGTCCCAGATTCACCGATTTGGGATCCTTGTTTAAGATGAATATTGTGATCATGCTTTCTCTCAGGTGGTAGCTTTATTGGTTCTTCAAAAACATCCTTATAGATTAAGAATAGTTCTTGCAGTAAGGTTGAGTGTCTGTACTTTCATAATCTGCACTCAGCATATACATTTCTCCTAACGTTTCTGGATCTTTCCCAACTAGCTTTTGTATTATTTTCTCCAGAGATAAGCTTTAAGTTGGCACTATTACTTTTTCTTCAGGCCTTTATTTTGAAATGTGATTGTCATCTCATTAAAATCAAACAGCAATGGACTATAGTTTTTCATCTAGTCCACTCTCAACATGTCACTGCCTCCCATTTGCAAAACCCTCAAGTCATGCATAAGTTGATGCCGCTGCATCATCCATTTCAGTTGTTTGCACTTAACTACAGTGTACAACTTCTCTCCATTTGCTACAGTTATTGCCAAGGACTAGTGTCCATCGGCTCTACACCATCCTTAGCCCACTATGGTGTTACAAAATTATGGGTACTACCACTGTCTACAAGGACATTCAGTGGTTTACCTTTGATGTTGCCTTGTATTCTGATAGTACTGTGCCCCACTACTCCATTTAGACCATTGATTGAAATTTCCAGATTGCTATCTATAGGCTCCTGCTCTCACGATGCCTCATGCCTTGTATCATTGACTTCTCCCAGACCTTCCTTGGTCTTTTCTTTCAACTCCTCTACTGACATAGATTCAATTGCTTGTTTTTACACATATTGCCAGGGAAGAATTTCTCACCATTCTTGAAGCACAAGTTCTACATTCTCCTTTGTTCTATAAGGTTTTGTGTAGGATGTTGAGGGATTGTGGTGGTTACAAGTTTTTGTGTTTGATTCCAGGGAATGAAGTTGTTTATAGGATATGGAATTGTATTTGCTGAGAAGTTGCTTTTGGCTTGTGGTTTATGTTTTCTACTCTCAATCTCCAGGGATAACTCATGCAGCTTAGCTTGCTTATATGCTGCGGCCAATGTTAATGGCTCATTAGCCTTGACCCTAGGCTTTAACTCCTTCAGTCCACTTATGAAACTAGTGACAAAGTAGGCCTTACCAAGATGGGAGTTGTTATATAGGGAATAAGCTCTTCAAAACTCTCTTGATACTCCTCCACAGTAGACCTCTGAGATAGTTTGCTGAACTCTTCAATCACATCAGCACAAGTTTTATCACAGATATGTTGACACAGATCAATAGCAAATTCTGGCCACGTAACTCTTGGTCTCTGAATCACATAACCATCGAACCAAACTTCTACCTTGCCAGATAAGTACATTATACCTACCTCTAGCTTTTAACGTTCATACACTCCAAAAATACTAGAATATTTTTGGCATTTCCTAATCCAACCTCTAGGATTTTCACCACAAAACACAGGTAATTTAATTTTGGTCTAGGAGAGAATGCATTCAATCCTATAGATGAGCTAGAACCAAAAGTGACTTCACGTTTTTTTTTTTTCTTTCAAGAATCAAGCTATTATGAATATTAAATTGACTACTTTCTTGCTGGCGATTTGGTAGTAATCCAGGTTCATCGGGCTTGTCTTTATACTTACTATGATCTTGATTACTGTGATTTCAATACGGCTGTTCCCTTCCCTCTTGTTCTGTTCTGCAGGTATCAGTTGAGATGGGATAATCTCCCTCTGGAGGCGAGATTCCAACATTTGATTGAGATGAATATGGTTTTCCATCATCTTAGCTTTAAGCCCTTTCTCTTGCTCCTCCCACCACTTGGGAATAGTGGTATCTATCTACTTCTGCCAAGCAAGCATCTATTCTTGCAGAGTGTTCGATTGAGTGCTCTCTGCCATTGCTGCTGGTTTCCTTGTTCTTCCCAGTTTTTTGTTGGATTCATAGGATCTTTTTTGCCAATTTGTCACAGCCTAAGCATGACTTGACTCAGGTCGGTTATGGTGCCATAATTGCAGATGTAAAATAAAGGTACACAAGACTCATGTTAAATGCATAAGAGAAGAGCAACGTGAGAAACAAATGGTTGCATTGCATGCATTACAAATGAATTATCTCGCGTTTGCTATCAGGCAGAAATGATTACAGTATTGATCCAATCAATAATAAAGGGGAGATTCAATAACAGGTAGACTTGATTGCTATTTTCAGTCTTGCCAGGGTAAACGTGAAAAGATCTCTCGTCTAACAATTTTCTGAAGTCATCACCGCCCATTTTTTCAAGTTATCACAGGATAGAGCGATGGGGAAGGTAATAGGCCCATGCGTCAAAAGATTGAAGGGATTTCCTAATAATTGGAGAAATTAAGAGAAAGGATGAATACCATAATTTATGGGCGGATGGTAGGACCAGTTTATGTGAATTTTTGTTTTTATTAAATAAAGTTCAATGTTATTTAGAGCCTTTTTCTCATTTGATTTACAATGTTATTCTAGTCATGGATAACTGAGAGCTAAGCTAAGTACAAGTGTTAGACCTAACCATTTATATATGTATTTGTATCGTAATCTATTTGTGTCAAATATGTATAAAATATTAAAATTATTATTAATTGATGTCAAATAAATATAAAATTTTAAAATTATCATATAGCAATTCATGTTGATACGTTAAATATGAAACATATATATTTTTTATTTTTATTAAACCCATATATGATTTTTATAAAAATTTTAAACTATCACTTTTATATATTTTTTATTATTTTTATGTGTTATTGTATCATGTTTAAAATTGTTATATCTAATAATTGTGAAGCCACTTTTGTATTTGCATATTTGTCTTTTTCCATCTTTTTTTTAAGGAGAATCGCGGACCAAAATTTATCACTTGCATCTGTCTACAAAATTTTTTTGCCATCTGATGGAATCTTTAAAGTTAGAATAGACTTCAACTTTAGCTTGAGTAACTTTACTGATTGTATCTATTTTTGGGATCATTAGGGAGGCTTTTTTTTCAACATCTGTCTAAGAGAATGGGTAATTTAAGCAAGATCTGGAAGAAATTTACCTATATAATTGACTATGCTGATGAATTATTGTACTTATCTCTGTGAAAGATTTTCATTAAGGAAATCTTCAAGTGTCTTAGCAATATAGAGTTGAGCAATGTACTGATCATCTTTTAAATACACGCCTAGGAAATCTCTCTGTAGCACCAATTATCATATTCTTTTCTAACAGCATTATTCTATCCTATTGTACAATCATCTGGAACTTATCAAGTAATTGTGCATGAGTTTTCAAATATGAAGAAAATAGAAGAATATCATTAATATAGATGAGTGCATTGTCAAAGATTGGAGTAAAGATTTTTGTCATTGCCTTCTGGAACAAAAAAAGAGCTACTTTGAGACCAAAGGGCATAATTTCCACTAAAAATGATGTTGAGGGATGCAAAATGTTGTTTTGTATCAGTTTTGTAGATGTGTACTTAATTGCCAAAATCTATCTTAAGATCAAACTTTAAGAAAACTTTCACCTGTGACAAGTTTATAAACAATAATTTCTTATTGAGAAGATGAAACTTATTATCTGCAAGAAAAAGATTTAAGAGGTTTGTAACTAATAACCAATCTTAACTTTCCATGAACTTGTTTTGATCTTTTGTTGATATAGAACACTTCACATACCCATGGAAAAGAAGTGAGTGCAATCAAAATTTGGGCTTGGAGCTATGAACATTTTCAATAGCTAGTTTCAAATGGTCTAAATTCATTCCTGAATGGATAGCTTTTGTAGGATTGGCATCTTCATTTTTTTTAAGGGAAAGGTTATGAAAAATTATGGGTATTGCTAAAATGGGTTTTTACATTTATAGAGAAATTCTAAATGATTTTTTGCACATAAGATTTGGATTATCTTTTGTTGATCTCTTGGAAGAAGTCTGATTGGATAGTCATGGTGAAAAGGTTAGGTAGGTGTTTCCATAGTTGAAAATAACTTTCAAACTTGATACTTTTTCCATTGAGCCTTAAACTTGGTATATTGATAAAAACATCAAAACCAATAACTAGGTCTTTTTGTGAAAGTGATGATCCTAAAATTCTCTGGGTTATCTGACAACCTAAAATATTTAAAGGGTACCAGGGTTATTAATAAAGTTTGTTGAAAAAATATTCTCATCAACGATTTTAAAGAAGTTTTTTTTTGTTTTTTTCCAAAAAGTTTGGGTAAAACAATGGGATTGGCTATTGTTTAGACGGCACTAGTATCAAAGAAAGCTATGACTTTGATAAGGGAAAAGTGTTTCTAGGTAAAGATCTAAATAGGGGCTAAAGGTGCTTTTGGAGGTTGAATGGTTTAGATTTTTTAGAGTCCTTGGATTGACATGTAATTAAAACATTCATGATCATCTAAATATTCATCTGACTTTGTATCTAAATCATCACCATATTACTTGATTATAAACGATTGAGGAGTTTGTTCATCATCAAGGGAGAAAATTGACTCTAGATCATCATTTGAGAGATTAATGTTGAAAATATTTACAATATCCCATATCATCTTAATGGACTTTCTGTCAAAATTTAGGCAGTTCTTTGCAAAATGTCTTGATTTACCGCAAATAAAACATTTGTTGCCTTTTTCCTTCGAGTTTCTTTTTTTTTCTACCAAACTTGAATTTATGAAATCTTATGGGTTTCTCTGGGTGTTTAGAGAATTTGCTATTTCTGGAAAGATGAAAGCTTTTGGAGTTTCTTAACACATTCAACTTACTAAAATATTTCTTCTTCTTTTGCTGACAAAGGCATAAGGAGTTTTTGGAAGAACATTTGATTTATAGACCTGTTGATAATAAAAACACAGTCTATCTTTTTGGAGTTGTTCACCAAATCTACAATGTATATGTGTTCCTTACAAATTTTATTAAGAGCTCTCATCATAACTTTGTAGATATCACCAAAGTTTATAGTTCTTAAATCAAAAGACTTTAGATTAAGTTAAGTCCTTTTTTATTGAGCAAGTTTTTTTGGAACATAATTGAGGAAGGGCTTGTTTTAGGTTGATATCATCAAAACCACAAAGAATGTACAAGTACTGTAAAAATTATTGGTAATGTCTATCAAGAGCTTTTGGATAGAGTGAATAGCATTTTAATTTGAAAAATTGCTCTATGATATTGTCCAATTAATGAGCTTCTTGACCACAAAATATTACTAAAAATTGAGATACAGCTTCTATGATTGTTGGGTATTAAAGAAACTGTAACTGTCCATATTCAATAATATTATCCTAAAAGTTTTTGAAGGTTCCAACTAATCTTGAGATAAATTTGATTAAAACCATATTCATCATAACATTGGGATTATAGTGTAATTCAAAAAGTCCCCAAGCTAGAAATTCTTGAAATTTTGAAGCCATTTGGAAGGAAAAATGTCATCAATTGCAAATATTGAAAACTTTGAAGTGGATGAAAGAATATGATATGGAGGATAAGGTTGTTGTTGATCATCATCCATAGCATCTAGGTCATGAACTTTTGGATTATCTTCTAAGACTTCAACTGTTGATTTTATCATAAAGATCGATAAGAGTGTCTTATCAGTATGATTAGAAAAATCATCACTTTTCATAGAAGAGTCATATTTGCTTAGAAAAATATCATCAATGGAAAATTGAGGAATATTTTCCTATGCCATGTGTTGGAGCATTTTTGGAAAAATATTTGGAATGGGAGAAATCATGAGCTGGGATTGAGGCTTTAAAAAAGCATAAGAGGTACTTTAAAGAGTGTGCTCAAGTGTGGGATTTGTAATAGTGCTTGTAGTTGTTTTGGATTTTGAGAGTTGAAGAAGTGGTTGTTTTGCAATTTTTTTGGGTTTTTACTCAATTGGTTGTTTTTCTCTGAATCTATGAATCTATTTTTCAGTTATACCAAAAAAAGATTGGTTTCAAGGAAGAGTTTGGAATGGTTGTTCTGCTAGTGGTGTGAAGAATGATTTTGGTTAAGAATATGAAGGTATTGATATAGTTGGGAGTTTGTATTGGAATGGTGTGAAAAAAAGTTTTGAAGGTAAATGTGGGTTGTACGATTGATAATGGATCAATTGCCTATATCAAGAAATAACCTTCTTTAAAACCACTTTGTTCCATAAGGTGATAACAAAAATCTTTGCTCCAATCATCGACAATGTACTTATTTACATTGATGATATTCTTCTCTTTTTTTTCAGATTTGAAAACTCATGCAAAGTTACTTAATAAGTTCTGAATGATTGTACAACAGTATGGAATAATGTTATCAGAAAAGAAGATTACAATTGGAGCTATAGAGATAGATTTCTTGGCATACATTTAAAAGATGATTAGTACATTGCTCACCCCCTCTTGCTAAGATACTTGAAGATTTCCCTGATAAAAATTTTTCAAAGAGATAAGTGCAACAATTCATCGACATAGTCAATTACATTGGTGAATTTTTTCTAGTTCTTGCTCAGATTACACATCTTTTTAAACAAATGTTGAAAAAAAAAAACCTCCTTAGTGGTCCCAAAAGCAAACACAATCAATGAGGCTATTCAAACTAAAGTCAAAATCTATTCCAACTTTAAAGATTTCCTAAAATGAAAAAAGAATTTTGTAGACAAACACAAGTGATAAATTTTGGTCCAAGATTCTACTCGAAAAAAAAAGATGAAAAAAGATTCAAAGATTTGAAAATCTACTATCACTCTACACTAAAAGAGATTTTAACAGTGAAATATGAAATAAAAAGATTTGAATTTTACCTCACTAGATATCACATTCTCATGGAACTAAAAATGTTAACTTTTGATCATATGCTTAATTTCAAGAAAAAACAGATGCCAAATGCACGTTATTTATATCATCTCAATGGTTTTCGAACTCTTCCTTCACCACAAAGCATATAAAAAAAAAAAAGAATAATTTTCTCCCAGATATGTTATCCAAACCTCCTT